GTGAGAGTGGGAGGGGCTGAGTCGCAGTGGGGGGGTTAGTGTGATGGATTGGGTTTATAATATGGATCAGGGCACCACATCCCATCATGAGGAGGGTCGAATTGTGCTGCATTCAGGTGCTGAGAGGCTTCAGGTGCTGTAACAAATACGTATATGTGAGTTAGCTGCTGAAAAATGACATGTGGATGCATCCTCTGAAATGCGTCTGCAAAAGGCCTAATGACAAGATAAATACAAATAAAAACAATGGTGACAAAGTAGAACACAGGACATGTTGATTCATCAATATGAATCAGAATCCCCATGTTTCCATGTGCTTATCCAAGTGCTCAACTTTTCACTCTACTTTGCAAAATATAAACTTTAGTTAAAGGGTGGATGTGTTCAGGTCAGCTGCTCGTTGTGTTAGGATGACTTAGGGTTATCCATAAGGATTCAGTGATCGAATGATGTTTCCGAACAAAATAACACATTCTGTATGTGAAGCAAGGTCATTAATTTGTCTCTTCTACAATTTTACAAACATATCAAAACACATTCCCTATGTATATTAAATGGTGAAATCCAATATATGTCAAACATGAATAAAACAACAACTTATGCATTCAAAAACACATGACCAACTATTACATATCCATTATGACACTGTTATATATAACATCATAGGAACTCACCAGCAAGGAGCAGAATACCTCAAGATGAAATATGTGTGCACAGTATTATGAGCCCAATGCCTTAAATGTTCTTTGAATTAGCTATTAAAATACACTAACTTCTCCTCTCACTGCACACACACACACACACACACACACACACACACACACACACACACACACACACACACACACACACACACACACACACACACACACACACACACACACACACACACACACAATCAGGACAAATAAATGTCAGTCTTTCTCTGATGTGCTTTCTTGGCCTGGTTTCGTGAGAGAAAGCTCTGTTCAGACTTTTCTGCAGCCATGTTTGTACTGCCATATATTCCACAGAGATACAGCAGAACAAAGCATCCTTTCAGCTCTTCCTCACACGGCTCGGATTCCATGTCCACCGCTGTGAGCCTCATCACTGCTGTGTTCAGGCCGGTGAGGAGTTCCATGTGTGAAGTTACTTTCAGTGTATTTCTACTTCCAGCTATGATAGTCACACAGCAGCCTTAGCTTTAGCATGCATACAGTCATGAGTGAACTGTGCATCATGAATATCTGTATGCTTCATAGTGTAGTCTCTGCAACAGCCACTACGTTTGTTAGAGACATTTTCATTGAGTTATTATTGTCTGAATGTTAGGCTTAACAATAATATAAAGTAGATTCAACTCTTAATTAATCAGGTATTTTTGTGAGTCACACTATGGTTTAAAATGTATTAATTTAAGGCTCACTTATTTGTTATGAAATGTGCGTCAGTATCACGTGCATGGCTATATGCCTATATATGGTAAGTTGATAGGACACAGCTGAGGGTGATGAGACGGGGAAGCGGAAAAGTCTTTGGACCGTGAGACTGATAACTTTTATTTGACTATGAAGTGAAGAAATGTGTCCTCCTGTTTCTATGCCGTCTCGACCAATGAATAAAGCTCATCTGATTCAACTACGATCTCCGCTTAGTTTGGAAACAAAGAGAGGCGCGTCAAAACCCACAACCCCGTGGCTATTAAATGTAGACCAGAATTAAAACGCCACCACAAGATTATGTATATATGTCTTAGTTTTTTTTTAATATTTGTGTTATATTTGTGCCTTATCCAGACCATAAAACAGCAACTCACTGATTCGAAGCCTTTAATACATCCATAAATAGTATGGCCAAATCTGACCTTTAGACGCACAGTATGTACTATCTTGTTGACCAACCCTAGCTTTACTCATTTTGACCGGCTATGCAGAGATACCTCTTCACAACAATCACTGCACCAAACCTGAGTTTAACATTTGTTCTTTTAATCAAGACACTCCCTCTTTCTGTTTCCTCTTCACCACAGGGACTGCCAAGACAAAGATAACCACTCCATTTGGCTGATTACTACTTACATTTGATTTGATCTCAGCATCATTTTTTGGACTCATTTTGCACAGAACAGTGTTGATTTTGTCCATTATTTCTCATGGATTAGTCTCTTCAAGAAGTAATCGCTTAATGGCCACTTCAGTCTAAACAGGAGGAGAGAGCACCTTGCACATTGAACCTTAAAAATATATTTTTTCTGACGGTAAATTGCTACTGCTATTAACTACTTGCTTTTTGACCCTTTGTCCTCTTTTGCTGCATTTTCCTTTCCCTTTCTCCCTTCCTCTCCATGTACTCCCTCTCGTGCCCCCTTCCTTCCTTTCTTTCCTCTACATCCCCTCCCTGCTGATGCATTGCCAGATGAAAACACACACCACCCACTGCCCGTCCTTCAGCCATATGTTATTTAACTCAAACAGATTTACTTGATTAATGGACTATGTTTTAACATTATCACTGCGATGCGCTGCAAATGTGATCATATTTTAATCATCTACTGTAGGACACATCCACGTATACCAATATCACTGTCCTCATTAGATTCTGATTAAACAGGGTGTGTATGTGTGTGTGTGTGTGTGTGTGTGTGTGTGTGTGTGTGTGTGTGTGTGTGTGTGTGTGTGTGTGTGTGTGTGTGTGTGTGTGTGTGTGTCTGTGTGTGTGTCTGTGATTTCACAAATAGCTAGGATTTTACATCATCAACAATATGACTGGGAGGGCCTTGCTAACCCAAACGGTTTGGACACATATCAAATCAACACTGATTGCATCATTGAAAATATGTGTTGTTTTTTGTTAACAAAAAAAAATACACGGAGCTCGGGATAAATAAAACTTATTAGGAGAAACTATGTCTGCAGAGGTTTTAATAAGTTATTCAGTTGGCTTGGGACATAAGCTTTTGATCACACACACAGATGCTAAACACACACAAAACAAGCAACATCCTCCATCAACTCCATTAGGAATGGTGTCATCAGGAGCCAGAATGAGCCATGAGAGCGGCTGCAGCAGAGGTTTCATTCCCTTACATTGTGGTCTGCCGCTCGGCCAGCAGAATACTAATGCTGAGCTGGGGGGCGGGGGGGGGGGGGGGGGGGGGGGGGGGGGCACGGCTTCCAGCCTGTGCAAAAAGGCTTTGGGCCAGCGGCTCTGTGTGAAAATGGGAACGGCTGCAAAAAGGGATGAGAGTGCCCCCTGGCTGTGGGAGCAGCCTGGACCCTGCCACGACCGGGGTAGGGGAGGGGGTTTATCCTCCTATCATTAACTCAAGAGAATACCCCTCTCCATTAAATCTACTCCAACTCACCACAATCCCTGCCCTTTCTCACACAGCCCAACCTCCCCCCTTCCCACATCTTTTCCTTTCTTCCTGTCAGCCCTTTGATTTTGCTCTTATTCCTCATATTATCCCTTGACGGCTCTATCTAGGTCACAACAGGGACTTTCATGCCTTTAGGACCCCCAAATCCCACCCGTCCCCCGTGTCAGAATGAGACACCCCCTGTAATGAAACACTGAACATCAGGACAGGAGTCAACACTGTAGAGGCAGAGTGGGTTGAAAGAGGGTCTGTAGAAAAGGAAAGACCCATCTCTGACATCACCTCGAAGGAAACAGAGTGGGTCTCAAGTGTTGAAGGGTAGTTTGGATGTTTTAAAGTGGGGTATTATCCATACTGAGTGTAATATCTGCAGTAGGTTACAGTTTGGAGAAGCAAACAGGACTACCAGCACAAACGCAGAGCAATATACTGTGGTCATGGTGGCAGCAAAACTTATTTTAGCCACCTTTTAATGATTATCACAGTTCAGTGTCGCTATATTAGGATTTCTTTGTTGCTTTACTTTGCCTTGCTATTCTACACTATATCACTTGTGATGTTTTACTTTTGATGGGCCTTTCTTTCAGATGGCTAACATCAGGTTTGCTGCTCCATAGTGGTACATTGTTTGTAACACAACCAACCTCTGTCCCTTTGAACGTTAAGGTGTTCATATAAAGTTTTCACACACAATTAACACTCAGTTTGTATAGTTGACTACAAAAGTTCAAATGAATGCAGTCCCCTTCAGTATAAAGGTGTTATGTTTTCATGTAGTTTGTGCTGGATAATTCATGAAAAATGGTGTACAAATTCAAACTAGAATCACTATATAACTTCCCCATCCCAACAATATGATTGTATAAGCACCTGAAAAAAGCATTTATGCAGGGCTGTTGTATTATATCCTGCATTCATTGAAGCTATTAGCTGACACACAAAACAAATGAGTGAACTGACTATTGGTCACATTTCCCTGTTAGATTGAGCTATTTAGGCTCATGGGTATACGTTAGTATTAGTTTTGTAGGTTTTTTAATATAAAACAAAGTATCAGAGAAATAGATAGTGTGTCACGGCAATAGTTATTACAAATTCAAATACAATCCATCTGATAGTCGACATTTCAGCTTGAACCAAAGTGAAAGGATATCTATGGCAAAATGTTGTCAGAGAGAAGCATCGTGTGCATGCAAGGATTATTACATTCATAACTTTTCCTCATTCTAAACATATTGCATTGCTTATATTCTATAGCATACTACTGTAGAGATCTTATTGTACCAAATATTAGGGATTTTTATCGGATTTATTTGTATTTCTTTACATAAGAATATTTTGTAATTGCCCATTGTGTTATGTGATATTTGGGTAAAGGAGACAGTGATTCCATGAGGGCGTAGTGTTGGTTTCTCAGCTGCAGTTGATGCCACAGAGATGTGTTCATGGTCGCTCTTTACTCACCCTGTGATGTTCATGGTGATTATCTGAACATCTCTTTCACATTACAACACACAGTAATTAGATCCATTGCTCATAAAATATCTCAATAAATGGAACATTATCTTTAGGGATGTTTACTAATTCAATTGACATAATGAATGTATAGGCTTGCTATCGAAACGTTTGTTGAAAGTTC